CAAGGGACCATTGATATGGGTTTATTTTATTCAAATGTATCCAAGCCATCATTGATTGGTTATGCAGATGCGGGATATTTGTCTGATCCACACAAAGGTCGATCTCGGACAGGCTATTTATTTACAAGTGGAGGTATAACCATATCATGGCGTTCGACAAAACAAACTATGGTTGCTACTTCTTCAAATCATGCAGAGATAATAGCCATTCACGAAGCAAGTCGAGAATGCGTTTGATTAAGATCTATAACTCAACACATTCAGCAAACATGTGGTCTTTCTTCGAAAGAGAATATTCCAACAATATTGTATGAAGATAATGCTGCATGCATAGCTCAATTGAAAGGAGGATATATCAAAATACATTTCACCGAAATTCTTTTTCACTCATGATCTTCATAAGAATGGTGAAATAGATGTATAACAAGTTCGTTCAAGTGATAATTTTNAATTTGGCTGATCTGTTCACTAAGGCATTACCAACCTCAATATTTGAAAAGCTGATATATAAGATTGGAATGCTTCGTCTTCGAGACATTAAGTGATTTTTCATCAGGGGGAGTAACTATACACTGCACTCTTTTCCTTAACCAAGGTTTTGTCCCACTGGGTTTTCCTGGTAAGGTTTTTAATGAGGCAGCAAACAATGCATATTATAAATAACTATGTACATCCCAATATTTTTTTTGTAAGTATTTAATGAGACACATTATCTTACATGGACATCCAAGGGGTAGTGTTATGAATAGTTTGTACATTGGATACTACTTTGGATACTACATTGGATGTTCATGTTGTGAATAACTTAAAGATTAAATTTCTTATTTTATGTCCATCATCTTTACTTTTTATGCCTATAAAAGGCCATGAAATTGCAATGAAAAATTACACCAAAGTGAAAGAAGAAAACACTTCTCCATTCTCTCTATCTCTTCTTGTTTACATTTTACTGCATTACTTTTATTTTATAACATTTTAAACTTATTTACACCGATAATGTAAATATTATACTTTTTATTTACGCCATTAGAGTAATTTAATCATTACAGGCCGTAACAAATTGCTTGCCTTATTTTCAGTTACGAAAATTAATATTGTAATTAATTGAGTAAATTTCACGGATGATCATTCAATTTTGTGTACATTTGCAAAATTGTACAGGTTTTATAAAACTTTCATCTGAAAAGTCTATTACGCCATTTGCATTATAAATCCTCTCATTTATGTAATACCTTTTATATTATAATATACTTTTACCCAAGTATTTTACATATAATTAAAATAATAACTTACAACAACAACAACTCAGTATAATCCACCAGT